AGTTAGATAGCGAGGTAGGGTGCGGGAGTAGTCGAAGAAAAATATGATTCGTTGAGTGATCACATCATTTTCTCTGTCAAAATTTGTCATGTGAAGAGGAAACAGCTCAAAATCATGCTAATAATATCTCCATGTATACAAAGGTTGAAGTATGCATGCACAGTTATGATAATGAATTAAGATCCTACCTAGCTAGTAGATAAATATGAGAAAATGGCTAGAAATCTTCAGAACAAATGATATAATGTCGTAATTGGTAAATGGAAATGTTGAATGCTCCAAATTATGTAAAAACATAGCAGGGAAGCACTCCAAATCAAGTTTCCAGTCCATCAAATGCACATACATGTGCATGGTTGATTATTGTCTGTTATTAATTTGAGATGCATCACATACATCTAATATATTTAGTTAATTTATGATTTCATTAAAAAAAGAATGCCCACAAATCTTGCCTCTGGATTTATGCAATATTCAAGCAATTTAATAAAATTATAATTTTTGAAACTAAAAGATCCATAGACAGGAGTAAAAATGGACAACATTTTCTTTCTTTTGCACCAGCTAATTTAGCTCAATAACTTCTCAAAAAACATTTCTAAATCCAAATCTAATGCACTACAATTTTCCAATTGTAAATGGACTAATGAAGATATAAGATGATAACAGTTAAAATCAAATCAAATAGGGATTATAAATCACAGTTTCTGAGTACATACTTACACAAGTAACAAAGCAACACCACATCCACATTTGAAGCTACTCCATGTAGAGGCTAAATTTCTATTCTCTATTATCACGCTTCAAGTAAATTCACTAGTAACAGAGGAGAGGGAAGTGATACTCACTCAGAATCATGAACAACTTTCCTCCTCTTGCTTGATACTTTCAGTCGAAAAAACAAACAAGAAACAATCAGCAAGTTCATACCTTTCCGTAAGAAAATTGATCAACCCATCAAAATAGTGCCTAACCCTAACCATCCATTTCGAACCAGCACCCCAATCAGCAACCGATCGGATCATTGAGTCGATCCTTCGCTCAAACCCAGCGGTCCACCACCCCAATCAAATCGCCGGATGTAAAACCCCAAAAATTTAAAATTTTGTGATAAATAATAATAAATATGTTATATATTTATAAATAACATATTATGATGTTTGAGTATACTAGGAATTGATTTGAGACCAAGTCAATGTATATATGTATATATATAAGAGCAAATGCACAAATCATGCTCGATGTATAAATCTGGAAATTTATTACTAGTGGAGAGATTTTGTATTTTACACACTGATATGTTGTGAATATGGAAAAACTTAAAAAACCAAAGTTGTAGATATCTTCAGTAGATTTCCAAAAAATCTTTAATCACCTTATTCTGAAGATGGATACGAAAGTTACAGCCAAAATACTGAAGAGTATGTTTCTAGTCAAACTGGGTTTTCTAGTTTCGGGTTTCAGGTTTTGGGCTGTAGTTTTTCGGATTTGCTATCATATATACACATGTTTAAACAAGAAAAACACCTCTTTTATCTTGTGTTCCAAACCCTATCAGCCCCTTTTCCCCTCTCTCAAACCCTAGTTCTTTTCTTTGGTGATTTTGAGGGATTTCGGAGGATTTTTCAGCGGGTTTTGTGCAGTGTAGCGAAGGGGATTGGTTCTCTTTCACGTGGTAGTATTTTTTTTAGCATTTGAGGCGAGTAACATCTCACCCAACTCTGGACCCTTTTATTTTGCACGTTTTATTAAGTTTTATTTGGATTTTTCGAGCCTAAAACGTATTTTTAGTGTACAAAAGATAGATCTTTATAACTTATAAAGTGAGAATACATTATTATAATTTTTTAATTGATTACAATAGTAACCTTAACAAATTTCAGATTTGAAATTTATTAATAACGAATTAAATCACAAGTTTTTGCTTTTAAAACGTTTAAACATGTGTATATAAATGTTTAGGGTTTCGACGATATATTTATATGCTAATATTTCGTTTTATGTTGTTTCATATATGTTGATATTAGTAATATTATGCTTAGAAAATAATAATATCACTTCTAGATTTGTTTCGAAGCAAACAAAAACCTGTGAATGGTTTTTGCCTGTTTCGGTTGATCGCCGGTACAGTTTGTGTATGTTTACTTTTGTTGTGTACTCTAATGTGAACGAGGAGTCACCTCGAATATTTCGCATTAGAAATTATTGTTTATTATGTATCTTCATATATGAGATGGCTTGCGGATATAAGTTTAGATTTTCACACCGAGACACATATGAAATTAATGTATATGCATCCTTTTCATATATCTCATCGATATTCTACACTTTTCATTCAGTCCATGTGTTGGGCAATTATTATGTGCATTTCATGTATTGGACATTCATCATATTCAGTCCAAGTGTTGGATATTCATTATATTCAGTCCATGTGTTGGACATTCATCATTCAGTCCATGTGTTGGACATTCATCATTCAGTCCATGTATTGGATAATTTATATATGCAGTCCATGTTTTGGGCATCCACTACACCTAGTCTTAGTCAATGTGATGGACACCTGTTTAAACCTTGAGTATGACACTTACACTTACATAGGCTGGACATGACACTTATGTGGGTTTTAACATGACATGGTATTTGAGTTCTGAGATGGGTTAGTTTTCTTTATATTATTATCCCTGTATTAGATCTTGGGTTTAGTATTTAGGGATTTACAATTTAAGATACAAGGTATATACATAAGAGTTTCTTTGTTTGGATTATTTTGCTTGATGTACCTATGCTCGTGTTGTAATTTCCTAAATACTAAAATCCTCTTATTGTTAGGATCAATGAATTTACGTATATATGTTTTAATTGTATTTTCTATATGCAACGAGTCCTCTCTCTTAGGGTTGGTTGTGATGTTGCTCGCTAACGCTTTGACGCTCATTGTCCCCTCCCATTTCAGGTAACGAGCCAGGTGCACGGAGAGTCGCAGGTTGATGGCGATACTTATTAGCGTACATCTTTCATTTGTAGTTTTATTTTATTTATGGAGCTCCACTGTAGACATTTTGTTTAGACATTTGAGAGTTATGTTCTAGAAGTTGTAAAGGTTGTGTGCCCTTTTTTATTTTATCAGATATTCCATATTTGAGACTTGTTGAGATCTCCAGACTAGTTATTTCAGAGATTCACTTTATATTTTTGTATGTTGGATGATGAAATATCATTTTTATCTCTATTATTTCATCATATATCTCTTGTATTATCTTTTACTTGCTTTTGTACCTACACCTGTTGTTGACTCTACTAGAGAGATAGTAGTTGTGATGGTAAAACATATTATTGCACGGTATGGTGCATGACAGGTTTGACATTTCTGGTTTCACCTCGGACTGCAGCCTTGTGTGAACCCAGGGGCATCACAATTGGTATCAGAGTCAGATTTTAGTATCTTTAGGATCATTCTGTGTCGAGTCGTGGAGCTAGGTTAGAGTTTCCTAGGATTCATGTATAGAGTCCGCTAAGGATTTCCTAATATAAGTGAGGACGATATATATGTATATCTCAAAATTTGAGAATATATTTTTTATGACAACTATTTTATGTTGATTGAAGGTATTTGCGTGAATATTATGTGTTATGAATTCGTATTGTGATACGTTATATATATATATATATATATATATATATGTAAGTGAGGACGATATATATGTATATCTCAAAATTTGAGAATATATTTTTTATGACAACTATTTTATGTTGATTGAAGGTATTTGCGTGAATATTATGTGTTATGAATTCGTATTGTGATACGTTATATATATATATATATA